TGATGCAATGCATTTGTAATCACGGGCCACTTTCCTTTGTCGATCACCTGCTTAGTTCAGTTGGTAGAATGGCAACTCCACAACTTGGCTCGGATACAAACAAATCTAATTAAAATACAGATGTATTTAAAACGAAAGATATTTAAGTTATAAACATTCATAACTATTACGTAGAAAACAAAAACGATTTAAAAAAAAAAGATAGTGCATCAGTCTTGACCTGCAAATATACCAGTTAGACTCTCTGCATTAAACGTACAGTGCGATATTACTTATTCTATTTTTAATACTATTCATACTTGTTGTGTTAAAAACATTATTGTACTGCGTTGATGCGATAATTAATAAACTATGACTGTTGAGAGAGAAAAAACGAAGAAACCCGTCGCGGAAACGAGTGCACCCTGGGTCCAGAGATGGTACACGAACTTACGAGTCAACCCATTTGTCCACGCGTCGTGACGTGGTGTGCGAGGCGTGAATAAAATATGGTGACCACGTACCGCATGACCATGGTGTGTTAAGCGTGTGTTAAACTACACGTAAATACCCGGAAACAACTGGGCAGATCTTTGAACAGGGTGTAATAAATATAATAAATGCAATGCAATAAATCAAATATTGAATTGATAGTAGTGACATACAAATCAAATATTTTATCCCAATTAATTTTCGAAGCCCTGCCCCTCACACACATGGTTTCACAAGGTTCACCTCTTTCATTAATCTATCATCGTACCCCCATCCCTCCGAGGCAGTTAGTTTGCAGCTTAATGAAACTGGTTAGTGTCGTTTTAACCTGAAATTTCCAACATATTATTGTATAGTTGATCGTGACAAAATATTATTGTAATCATGAATTTTAGAATAAACAGCGGGAAAATATGATTTGGGAACCCTGGTATAAATTAATACCAAAACTGTCGTCTGTATATGCAAATATACAGTAACTAGTGTTGCGAGAGCGTAGACGATGAACCGTAGTGTTAGCTACTAATACACTGCATGGTTGCTGTAATTTAAAGTATTGTCAATCCCCCCCCCCAATGAACAATGTATTGTCCACCATCTGTTACAAGTACCACTCAGAAGCCATGACAACACCTACTTCACGACTCCACTGTCTAAAATAACTTCACGCTCTGAACATCACACTGACACTTTCAGGCCAGCTGCTTTAAAATTCATGGTCGGGAGTTATTACCAGTAACACTATGATTGTTTGTCTCTCCTTAATGCACGACATCAGCACCTGCAACGTCGTCGTCGATTGGGTGCTCGCGTTGTCAATCACTTGGCGGTGTATTACGCTATTAATATACCGCCAACTATTGTAATATGGTGAATTTGAGATTAGAGCTAATCAAATTGATATCTTACAATGTTGTAATTTGAGTGCCAAGCAGTTTATGGGGGCAATGATAATTTCAGAGTTTAGTATATCAGTTACATTTGTAATCAATGGAATTTGCATAGATACTGACAATTTCGATTAATAGGGCCATTTACGTATTTACTTATTTGTGTAATAAATAAACATAATAAATAAATAAAATAAATGTAATAACCCTCATCCTTGATCATTCAAGTTATATTCAGAAAATTGCATCAGTACATTACGTAATTTGAGGAAGGAATATTATTATCGCATGGGAATTTGATAGCGCCTTGGAACGCAGACAATCGATGCCTTTAAGGCTGGGTTGGCTTTCCTCTGTGAACTGGTGTTTTGTTACTGTCTGTAGTTTTCTAAAGTGTGTGATTGTGCTATTTTTAAAATCGAATTTTTTTTTGTGAGACATTCATAATTTCTGATTATTGTCGGTTTATACTCAGTGTTCTGAGCGCTATTAGAGGCGCATATTAGTGCTGTGATGGCATGCTTAACGATTTGTATCATTGTGCCATGAGTGATCAATGGAAAATGGTTGCTACCTCGGGTGCTATCAATAATAGAAACATTCGAGCGTTACGAAGAGTTAGATAAAGCGGCAACGCTATGAGTAAACTGTACCGGGAAGGAGATTGTGCCGGCGTGACAAAAATGCGGAAAGGTTCGGACACGTTTCGTGGCGTTTTGTGACACCGAACTCACCCCCAGGCAATTGAGTGATTGTAAAACCTTGACACATTCTCTACATAGTACGGGATACCATCTGGTACACTCTGCATGACAATAAGTTTCAATGCAGGTGTTGCAAATATAGCACATAATATCACCCGATTCAACAGGCGTTGCCCCGTACCGAGCCAGACAATATCATATACGTATGTATTTACCAGTGACCAATATGACGATATCTGTATCTGAACTAATATGCTATGCAGTTCTTATGTATAATCATATGCATAGGAAAAGTTCGCACTGACACGCATTCAAGTAGCAATTATCCCAGTAATATCCCCGGGGAATATCTCAGTTTTGTGTTACTCCCAACACGATTCTTTCTTTTTTACTGCTTCTGAAAACATCTGAAGAGCCCTTGGGAAAGCCGTTATAACTTCATGACAACTGGGAAGCAACGAAAAATACAATGACACAACCCTGAGACCAACCTCGAGCTGAATATGACTCTATGTTCAGTGTTCGTTGTATTTTGTATTCGCCGAATCGACCAATGGAATATATATAGTGCATTAACACATAATAACCAGGGAGGGACCGGCGCGAGACACACCGAAGGGTGTGGTGAACAGTGTCGCGATAACGTAATTCTTGACTATTAATAGCACACGGTTCGTGACACAGCAGCCATGCTTACGATTATCAGGGACAATTCATTCAACGTTCACTTTCAGGGTACATCATATATAGCCGGTTATTTCCATCACTCGTTAGAGGCTGTATTTAAAAACGATTGACCCATTATTAATAAGAAGGAACATTTTTAAGGAGTGTCCATTGTAACAGTAGAGTTACAGCGTGAAATCCATACGTTGGAATTGAGATGGGGTTATAGCTTAATTGAATATATTCTTATTACTTGCCTTTCGACAGGTCTAAAGGCATTGGGAAAACATATAATGACACGTGCCAGTTTTACAGACACTGGCATTTGCGGTTTGTGATTAAACGAACGGATCACGATAGAAGACAGTCAAGAAGATGTGATTGCACTCCAAAATTCCACGACACGAATAACATTTGCATACATTTAGCGTTGCATGGAGTCTGCATGTTTTATTATTTGCAATTTACCAACTCGTGACATTACGTTCTATATTTAGGTAATATTTCAGACAATTTATGTATTAAATTCTGGCAACACGTTCAGGGATTATTTGGACATTTGCTTGTGGGGATCAATCAAATTAGAATTGCAATTCAAAGGCAAATGTGTTTGTAAAAAAAGTGATATATGTAGATTGCGTGTATTTCATATTTCATTTCTACATATATCACTTTCTGCGAACATTTATTTGGGAATGCGTGGTTGGTACATAAATATATACGACTAACTAAAATAGTATCGTGTTCACAACTATGTTCACGGTGGCGTAAAAGTAAGACAAGTTACACCGACTCAGAGGGATTATAATGGCGGAGTTAAACCTGCTTGGAAAAGGGGGGTATCAGTACAAGTGTAAGTATTACGCAAGTATACAGCGGCGTAAAACGGGACTTAAACGCCCTCATTCGGCGCCATTTGTAACGAGTTTATAAGTGAATTCAGGTCCTCAAACTGAAATTGAGTACCGTGGTGAACTGTATTTCAAAATAGAATCACACAATATATGTCGAATCTTCAGACAGTTGTTGTTAATTATAGACATGGCTTGGACGTTTTTAATAATATAATATGACCAAACGTTGTCGACTTCAGTGATGCTCGATTACGTTGAAGGCATGAATAAAAAAGTCACTACACGAAAGATAGAAATATATGGTCAACCAAAACATTTCCTATCTACGAGTAAGCCCAATTGGACTGATTTATCCAGTAGCCGTCAAATTTACGTATCTTGTGAACACGTTGGTGTGAACTCGGAACAAAATTACCGGACGTAACTTACGACGGCACGAATTTTCATTAGATGGCTGGAATCTCTGATTCTTGTGATGCGGGAAAGTCGTACAAAGCCTGTCACTACATCTCCAACCGTCCAGTCCCTGGTCAAAAACAGACGGCAATATTTAGTGTGTTCTGACCTATATGTTTGTTTGTTTTTTTAGTTAAAGGGTCGTGGTTGTCGCGCCACGTCCTGTTCAATATGGGCTCATAGCGACGTACACAACGCGTGTAAATGTGTTTGTTCACATAGCCGACTCACTTGGCTTTCGGTATTTTGCTGCTTTTAGTGCACTTTGGTACTTTCAGAATACCCATTCCCATAGAAACTAATTTGATTTGATTGTCACACTAACGTCGGAAAGATTTTTCAAAGTTAGTAACAAGAAAGATGCTCTTAGGAAATTCCGTGGTTGGTGGTTAATTATTTTCAATATACACACATGTTTGGGAGAAATTCACTCAATGGGGTTTTTCGTGGCGGAGAATTTCCCAGACTAACGTCTTGTATACAAAAACAGATCATAATACTGTTATAATATGTTGCATTTTATGTCCTTTCCGAGAAAACTGTAAACGTGTGATTTACAGCGGGGGAGAAGTAGGGAGTACAATTATCTATTTCTGTCTGGTTCAAAGTCACTGAGGTAAATTAGGAAACGTTTCTATATTTTATGAATGATAATAATTATTGAGAAAAAACGCAAACTAATCACTCAACAGATTCAAAATATTGAGTCAACCTATTAAGTTAGATGTATTTGTTGTGGATGCGAGAATACATAGGCAATAACAATGTGACTATTATACGTTAATGGTGCGTACATTGACAGTTCTGGAAATTAAGAGTTGTATTCAGATGCAGATGTAAATAAACATTTCTCCAGAAACCGCAATACCCCGCCCACCCCTGTTCTGAAAAGTATGGTAGTCTTCGCCGGCCGTTTGACGTCATATAGTGTCACGTGACTTTAGGGAGTGCGGCGAGAGTACACAGCAACACTGTTCTCAGGTCACGGCTAACATTAATAACGTGAAAATACTCGCAGAAATTATTATACAAAGACGACAGAAAAGAGGCTAAACAAACAGAAGAGACACCAGGAAAACCTTTCACGCGGTTGCTTTGCCCTGGAACGTTGAATCTGTAGCGAGCAGTGCGTGGATTTTTTTTTGACAGCGACTTCGGCGTTGACGGATTTGCTAATTGAATGCTGTAGTGTATGTATGTACAGTAGTAGGACTAGTACTGCTGGAAAGCAATGGCGGATTGCTCTGGATTAGTAGGAAACGGCAACGGTCAGAGTAATGGACTCGGACAGGAAAATGCCTGTGCTACTCCCCCGACTACACCGTCGTCACCGACACCAATATCACGACCGATAGGCGGAACGTTAAAATACAAACTGCTTCATGAAGGGGATATACAAGTGTGTTGTCTAAATCATGCCCGGACTGTCATAAGCAAAATTCTTAGTTCGAAGTTCTTACGCCGATGGGAACCACACCATATAGTTTTGGCAGACAGTACGATATATTCCACCACGGTAAGGAATTACCAACAAGCAGGAATAAATGTATGAGTCTTCCATATTTTCTTATATTTCTAGTGATTTTTAATAATGTGTGTAATACATGCGCCTGCACTCGATCTTCTTCGTCGGTACGATAACTTAAATGCCCGAGTGTTGGCTCGAAATTTTCTCCGGTTCTATATTGATGTAGTGTCTTCAACTTCCGTCGTTTGAATAATTGTTATTCTTAGCTGAAATTACATATAATATGTGCACATATAGTCGAAGGAAGAAGCATGCGACGTTCCCCTCTACTTTGTCTTGTAGTTCGTGATGTTCATATCGATTGAACGGTTCGTATAATGGCCGGCTGTAGTGGCGTATATATGGAGCTGTCATTATGGAACCCACATTTTCCACGTATTTTCTCTATTTTTCCTCCACAGATTTTCGCATTTTTACCTCGAAAAAAACGTTATCCAATTAGGATATTTGCTGAAAATAACGAGAAAAAACATGTTGATTTTTTTTATATTAATTTCGAGAAATTTCGACTTCTTAAAACAAGGGAAAACATTTTTTTTTCCACAATTTTTTTCCTTCACTGTCAGCGCGATTAGCATTGTGAATATAGGACGACGTGGGAGGGAGGCTGTTGAATTATTCTCAAATCACTGCTTTGTCCGAGAAAAAAACATTTCTGCTCTTCTCACACGATTCAGTGTTTTTTTTTTGTTTGCTATTCTGTGAAAATATGCTGATTGGGATTTGTGTTCTTATTGAACGGTGTTAAATAAATATGTTAAATATCTGTGTTATTAAATCTTGCATTTCTAGAAAGCGAGTCTCCCTAGTAGAACGATGGCAGATAAAGAGTTGTTGTCGTGACAGCTTGCTCATATTACATATTTTCCATGGACATGAAAACTGCTTTCTTTTCTATAATTCATTCAGATACTGTGGTCCTTCTCTCAAATATGTTGTTTTGTGCTATTTTATATAATAATAAATAATTTGAGTTTCATTTTTTTTCATGAATTCTGAAACTCTTGTTGACATTATTAATAATATACTAGAATTCTTGTTTTTGCTCAATGCTTGGCATTATTCCATCTTTGTGCGAGTTTATTCTTCTCTCACTTATTGAATGCATGACATACTCTTCTTACTTGAACAGTACTGGTGATACATATTCATTTAAATTAATTGTTTTTTTCTCTCTGTTACTCTTATAATAACCATTATACTACAGGTAAAACATAAGAAGAACTTTTGCCTTAAGCCAAGTCTTTTTCCCAGATACATACAGGCTGTAATTTCCTTTTTGGTAAAATACTTAAAAAAACATTATGTTAATGCTGTATAATATAATTGAGCCCCTATTATATGTCATTGTTCAGTTGGTTATATAATATGACAAGAAAACCTTTTATTTGCCTCATTAATTTATTTATCAATGCAATTATTTACCTTTTGCTATTATTTAGGATTTTAGTTTATAATTATTATATTAAAAAAAAAATACTAGTTTAAGATGATAGCTACCTTATATGTAAAATAGATATTAGATATTGTTCTGATTATAACACTGTACAATCCAAAAAATTATACCTAAATTCTAATTCAAGTGTATTATACTGTGTATGCAACAAATAATGACAAAAACAGATCTTTAACTTGTATTTAAACTAAATATAATTAGATTATGATGTTGATAGATACTGGTCAATGTGGAAAACATCCATAGCTGCAGTGTGGTCAAGATAAAAAATACCTTTCTCTATATATAGCATATTAAAGTTGGTACATTTTCATGGAATATCTTGTTAGCCCCTTCAAACAAATTCCAGTGTTTATAATTTGGATACAGTGATTTTCATGAAGGCATGAATTGTTTTTACTAAAATTTATAAAATATTTAACTCCCATGTTCAAAGCCATTTAGTAAAGCCCATTCATTAGCTATGCAGATTTGAAGGCTTTCTTCAATCATTGGTTAAAAATCCTCTGTTAATGCACATTGTTTTTACTGCATCTGTGCATTCACTAATACTGTTAAAAGTGAGATGTGTTATTTAAGGTTTGCCTCTGGGAGAAGTGTATGTGCTGCAGTTGTGCATTATCTAGTTAACCTTTTCACCACCAGATTTTCTCGCTTTTTCTGTATTTTCTTTCTGAAATTCTTCAATATTTCTGGAAATGAACCCTAATTTTGGAGCCAACAGACAAAATTTGAGTAAATTTTCAGTTTTTACTCAAAAAATTTGACTATTGTTGTCCCAATCTTCTGAAGGAAAGTGCAGACTTTAAATGGGACTATTTTGTGAATTTGTGATGAAAAGAGAGAACTGCTGTTGAAAAGGTTCGCCTGAGAGAAGTGTATGTGCTGCAGTTGTGCATCATCTACATGTATTTAAGGTATGCCTCTGAGAGAAGTGTATGTGCTGCAGTTGTACAATTTAAAGTCTGTCTGAGAGAGAATGTATCCTCTGCATGCTGCAGTTGTGCATCATCTATTTGATGTGAGAAGTATATGTGCTGCAGTTTTCATTCTTTATTTCAAGTGTCTTTCTGAGAAGTTTATGTGCTGCGGTTGTACATCATATACCAGTATTTAAAGTCTGCTTGAGAGAGAAGTTTATTATGCTGCTGTGCTTCATCTATTTAAAGTCACTTCTAAGAGATATATGTGCTGCAGTTGTGCATTATCTAATTAAAGTCACCTCTAAGAGATGTATATGTGCTGCAGTTGTGCTTCATCTATTTAAAGTCACCTCTAAGAGATGTATGTGCTGCAGTTGTGCTTCATCTATTTAAAGTCACCTCTAAGAGATGTATGTGCTGTAGTTGTGCTTCATCTATTTAAAGTCACTTCTAAGAGATGTATGTGCTGCAGTTGTGCATTATCTAATTAAAGTCACCTCTAAGAGATGTATGTGCTGTAGTTGTGCTTCATCTATTTAAAGTCACCTCTAAGAGATGTATGTGCTGCAGTTGTGCTTCATCTATTTAAAGTCACCTCTAAGAGATGTATTTGCTGCAGTTGTGCTTCATCTATTTAAAGTCACCTCTAAGAGATGTATGTGCTGTAGTTGTGCTTCATCTATTTAAAGTCACTTCTAAGAGATGTATGTGCTGCAGTTGTGCATTATCTAATTAAAGTCGCCTCTAAGAGATGTATGTGCTGCAGTTGTGCATTATCTATTTAAAGTCACCTCTAAGAGATGTATGTGCTGTAGTTGTGCTTCATCTATTTAAAGTCACCTCTAAGAGATGTATTTGCTGCAGTTGTGCTTCATCTATTTAAAGTCACCTCTAAGAGATGTATGTGCTGTAGTTGTGCTTCATCTATTTAAAGTCACTTCTAAGAGATGTATGTGCTGCAGTTGTGCATCATCTAATTAAAGTCGCCTCTAAGAGATGTATGTGCTGCAGTTGTGCATTATCTATTTAAAGTCACCTCTAAGAGATGTATGTGCTGCAGTTATCTATTTGAAGCGCACTTCTGAAGGAAATGTACTAACTGCATGTTTTCCCTCTATTTTGAATGCAGTTCTTGGAGAATAACGTGTACTGCAGTTGTACGTCAAGTGCACTTCTAATAGAACTGTATGTACTGCAGCCTCTGTTAAAAACATACGAGTTACAGTAGAAGTGTATGTACGTCTACATTTCATTTATCACTTTAATTGTATACTGGATTATTCAAATATGACTTACAACTATAACTTTGACAAGGGCACCTTCAATAACTGATAGTCATGGCTTTAAAAAGTAATTCATGCTGAAAAGTTAAAAGCACTACACATTCTTGATATTTTGCTAAACAAAAGGTTTTATAGAATAAATGAAAAAAACAAATGAAAAATTTGTTTTGACGAAAACAATGATTTATGCAAAGCATTGGGTCTTACTCTGTCTTGAAAATAGTAAATAATCTAGCGATGTTTCAAGAGATTACAGTGTCAAAATTGCAATAGCCAGGGTCATTTTTTCTTGCAACAAATTTTAGTGGATTCCTCTTTGCAAAGATTGGCTAAGCAACCCACTCAAGATTTGCTGAGGGATGAAATATGCCATTTCTGAAATGAGCATTTCTGCCACGAACGTAAACTACAACCTGAGATTTGGCTCCAGAATTGGTGTTAGCCTTAACTTAAAATACACTAATAAAAGCAAATGATCATCCTTTGTGTAACATGATAAAAAGATGTTTAAGCCACAGGATGGTCTCTCTGGTTATAGTCACACAACATGTGTAATAAAAGTAAAAGGAACTTAGACTTTAGATTGATTTTGATATTTTGCATGTCATAAATCAAAATATGTCTTTTATATTGGATATATATTCATCTTTTTGAATGATTGATTGGAACAGTATATAGTTTAAAGAGCTAAAGGTAGTTAGGATTATTTGAGAACTCTTCTTGTTTACATGGTTGTAATTCCAATACCTTTTTGCATGATTGTTCGTTTGTTGGCATACATGTTTAAACTCTTTCCTGCTCAACTAAATAGATACTGCCTCTTAAGGAGGTTCAAGCTGAATGGAAGAGTATATGTCATTTCCTTTTTTAAGATACATGAAAAATTCCATGCAAAATAGTCAAAATTGGTATTACACTGGTTTCTATGGTGAATTTATTTATTCATATTGCTTGGTGACTTTGGGATGGGGTGAGATAGTAACATATTATTATTGATATGAATTCCAAATTTGGTGAAACTTTTCAAAAAATCAACATAAGTTGAGCAGTTTTCAGTATAAAAAATTGTTCTTCCAAAATGCATTGCATATATATGCAGTTACATGCTCAGTAGTGCAAAATATAAATTCAGCTTAAACTGTCTTAGGTGGTCACAAAAACACAATTGATAAACATGAATGTGATTGATGCAATTGAAATTTAGTGAAAACAGAGCTGTTCTGCATATTAATGAGGCGTCCAGGGATCCCATGTAGAAGATTGTGCAGTGTGGCTTCAGTTCATGTTCTCATTTGAGACACACAATCAAAATGAGAATTATTCATT